CAAGTGGAAAACATGTTTAAATGATTACATATAACTGTTTAGAAAATACATATATTCCTACCAAGTAATATTAAATAAATCTTATGCTTACCAACTGATTTCAGTAATCATTTTAAAGAAAAAGTTCATTTTGGTTTTTAAATTACGTTTGCTCTTCATTATCAGCACTTCAAGTAGAAAACATGTTTAAATGATTACATATAACTGTTTAGAAAATACATATATTCCTACCAAGTAATATTAAATAAATTTTATGCTTACCAACTGATTTCAGTAATCATTTTAAAGAAAAAGTTCATTTTGGTTTTTAAATTACGTTTGCTCTTCATTATCAGCACTTAAGCGATAAGTTGCATTTACTAGACCACTCTTCTAAACAGTTATTAGAGAGACACAAGGGGAATTTTAAAAGGCTTCTAGAAATTCTTAAGTAAAGACACCTTTTAAAATTTATGTATGTCAAAATCCGGATTTGGGTTTTCCTAAAGCAAGGGTCACTGCCCCAAGCCTGTCAGGGGCTTGCACAAAACCACCCCTTTCCAGCCCTCCCGGTGGCTTCTCACTCCACTGCTTTTTTTCTTTGACCTCCAAGAAAATGAAAAGAAAACCAAAGATTTCTAATCATGTTTATTATAAATTAATGTACAGCTTGGAGGGGATGGATGTGGCTCACAGGCTATCACCCTTTCTTACAAACTGTGAGCAGACCTGGACCACCTCGTGGCAGCCACGCATGCCTTTGATTGGCGTGGTGTGGGCGCCAGTGACACAGTGCTCGCTCTTGGTTCTGGTGATAACAAATGGACCCCATACCAGCTAATTTCATAGAAATGTAAAACCAAAGAAATTATCTTTTTTTTTTTTTTCTTTTTTGGTTACCTTCTAGAATGCTTCTGGATGTAAAGCTGGGTCTAGAAGCATTGATTTCCTTCAGGCATTGGCTGTGGCTCTATCTTCCCGACACTCAGCAGCATCTGTGCTCTCATCTGCCTCTGACTCAAGCTCAAACTCGGTCTTTTCTGAGAATTCAACCCACTGCTTGTCTCTAAGAACCACTCTGACCCCGTGTGCTGACTTACAACCTTGACCGGCAGAGCCCTGTGGGGGTTTCCTTAAACCTGAGTTCTAAAAAATGACATCTCTTGGGTTATCTACAACCAGCAAAATTTGCATGACAACTCTGCTCCCTTAGTGTTTTTTTAAAAGACAATCAAACTGGGCATGTTTATCTTTGTTGGCAATTACCACAGCCACTTCATTTATTCTTGTTACTTGTCTGACAGCTTTAAGCACATGGATTGGCGATTAAGCCTAAGTACATAATTTCAGGAACTAAAACTAGAGAATACATTCCTTAAACCCAAAGGATGATCCTAGCGACTTCCAGGTTTTCCCAAACTTCCTTTTATGTCACTCCCCACACCTTATAGGTGCCAACGCTCCGACACTCTCTCCCTTCCCATTCATACCCCAAATACTTCTTGGGGCTGGGGGCTCATGACCCTATCCTACTGGCACCTGGATTCTTGAGTTCAGGTATGAGGTTGCCCAGAGAGCCCCACGTAAAGCCCTGAAGGCTTTTAATCGAAATGAATAGGTCATGGAGGATACTTGCCACCTTCTCCAAGCCAGGATTGTCTTCCTCTGCCCACGCTTTGTTCCTGCTCACCCCCGCTCGCCGGGCTCTTCTGCTTGCCTAGAAGCCAGGTTTTATCTACCTAAGTCCCCCGTTTAATAAATAACGTGTACTTGCTACAGCAAGATACCCGCAAGCCCCATCCATGTATAGTATTTTAATGCGTAAAACTCTATCCACTGTTCCCTGAACCCAAGGGGAAAATCCCTAGCCATTCACCTGCGTGTTTAATAAGCAGTTCCTGGCCCCATTATACTAATGCAAGCCTATAAATTATCATATGTTAAATGTAACTTGAAATCCTACTATATTCAATAAATTTGAGTTCAGCCTATGAGGTAGGGTCAAGTAAGAGAAATACCAAAATGCATACTCTTAATCACAAATGCTTGCCATTGCTATTTAAATCAAAGAAGCAGGTAATAAATGTAATAACTAATTACTGTATGACACTGAGTTGAATTTGTTTATTTCCTGAAACCATGAGCCATGATACCTTTGCCAAATATCATCTGACAACTAATAGTTCAGTTTAGAAATGTATCTATGTCTATAGTAGTAGGTGCTGGGCGCAAGGTGGTGTGGAGGATCTGAATATGCCACCCCAATATGCTGCTTTGGTGTATTGATAATTTTTGAGTTATAGACCCTTGAAAAACAGCAAATGCAAGAAAGTGCCCTCGGACCTTCCTTTTTCTTCCTGAAAACAGGAGATAAAACGCCCATGTGAAACGTGCCCTCCCTGTACCAGGAGGAAAAAAGACATTTTGTGCCCAGGGATGGGGAGTGGAGACAGAGAGCAATCTGCATAAACAAACCTTGTTAAAGGAACCCTTATCTTCCCAGTCACTTTCCCACAATTATGTGCCCCAGTCCAAACCCCGCTGTCCTGTCACATTTTCACCCTTTACTACCCTTTGTCAAACTAGTATATGAGCTTTTGGCTCTGCTTTGTTGTACCTTCATTTTCTTGTGAAGGATTCTGCAGACATGTAAAAATTACTAAATAAAGTTTGTATGCTTTTTTCCTGTTAATCTATTTTGTGCCAGTTTAATTAGGTCGGGCAGAGGAGAACTTTTACCTCCCACCTAAATATTCTTCTAAGTATGCCTCTGTCC